TGGTGAACTTGGTGTGGCCGCCGGGAAGTTCAAATATCCGATCAAACCTGAGGAGAACAGGTTGTGGGCGTGTATGCGTGCGTGCAGCTGATGAGTGTGTGATGTGCTGCTCGGGACGCAGCAGTGACGTGTGTTCATGTACGCACGTAAGTACATGCACAGACACGCTCAAACGCACATCAACCCATAAACACAAACACAGACACAGACACAGACACAGACACAGACACAGACACACACGCACACAGACACAAACACAGCCACACACGCACACACAGATACGATCGCGCGCGCACACACACACACACACACGCAGACACGATCGCACACACACACACACATCCATCCATACACAAACATACTTGAGCGTGTTTGAGTGCGGGTTGTAGCGAAGGGCAACGGCGTAGTTGCCGAGGACGTTTGGTTCCACATTGAAGCGGAGGATGTTGTAAAGCGTGCCATCGGGGCCCTCAACCATGTTCCCTTCCAAGTACCCTGCAACGTGGAGCGTGGCATGGTTGTTGTAGGAGGGATGGGTGAGGTTGTGAAGGCGAAGGGTGATGTGTGTGTGTGTGTTTGTGCGTGCGTGTGTGTGTGCGTGTGCACAATCAACCCGTTGGTGCAAACGCATGCAGTCACTTCTCCAAGCACACACACACACACACACACACACACACACACACACACACACACACACACACACACAACTAAGACCGCAACACACACACACACACATGACACGACACAACGCACACACACACACACACATGACACAGACACACACACAGACACACACACACACATGACACGACACAACGCACACACACACACACACATGACACAGACACACACAGACACACACACACATGACAACACAACGCACACACACACACATGACACACCCACCTGGCTTGTCCAGGGTTGGCCAGCTAGGCGGAACCCAGGAGCGATTGAAAGGAAGAGGGGGCGTGATGGACCAGCTGGAGGCGTTGAGGAGGTCAGCGTTGGCATCTGCAGATACGACCACAGCGGCAAAGTCGCGGCCCCACGCGTACGGCGGCACGTCGAGCTCGATGGCGCGGTAGATGCGGCCGTTGCTGGCCAGAAGCGTTGGTGTGGCGCCCGTGGCGTAGTAGCCTTTCTCTGTGGCGTTGAACAGCATGGTCGTGGACGGCCACGTGCGCCCGCCATCAAAGGACGCGGAGATCTTGATGCCGCCGTTGGCATCGCTGGAGGTGCCGAGCAAGTACACTGGCGCCGGCGGCGTGGTTTGTGTGTCGACCTGGAAGAGGTTGGACCAGTACTGGTTTGTGACCCAGGCGACCTGATTCCAGCTTGTACCGTTGTCCTCGCTCAAGAACACGCTCACGTTGCGCGGTTGTCCCGTGAAGCCGGAGCCAAAGCGGTCTGCGCCAGCCAGGATGTTGCCATTTGACAGCCGCACCAGCGTCGGGCTCCCAATGTAGATCTGCAGTTGTTGGTGGTGCGGGTGTGCATGTGTTGGCGTGTGTGTGCGTATGTGTGTATGCGAACGTGTGTATGTGCGTGTTTGTGGTTGTACTAAGCAAGCAAGCAAGCGCGAGGCAAGCAAGTACGAACACACACACATACACACACACACACACACACACACACACACACACACACACAACAAGCGAGCAAGCAAACACACACCCACAAACAAGTAAACACAAACAAACAAGCAACCAAACAAGCAACCAAACAGACAACCAAACAGACAACAAACAAACAAGCAACCAAACAGACAACACACACACACACACACACACACACACACACCTGCGGCTTCTCTGGGTGCCAGACAATTTCGTTGAGTTCAAGGGTGGTGTCTTGCATTGGATGAGCTTCAACGGTGACACCCACCACCGCCAATGCCACTGCCATCAGCAGCACCACCACAACCCGCATCTTCTGCTTCTCGCACACTGAACACCGTGCTTTCTGCTGCTTCTGTATTGGGTGGTGCTGACTCAGCAAAAACAAAAGCGACTCAGGCGAGTCCTTCTTCTTCTCTCTTCGATGCAGCGAAGTCGGGCGAGGCGAAACCGTTGCTGCCTCGCTTGCTTGCTTGCTGGATTTGCTTGCTGGATTTGCCTGTGTTCGTGCCACCACCACCACCACCACACCACGCACTGCCGTTACATGTTATTCTGCACCCACCCCAAGCACCCACGCACCCACGCAGAGCAAAGCACTCATACTTGACCCCTCCATTCTCTCTTCTCTCTCGATCCAACACACACACACACACACACACAAACACACACACACACACACAACAAACAAACAAGCAACCAAACAGACAACACACACACACACACACACACACACACACACCTGCGGCTTCTCTGGGTGCCAGACAATTTCGTTGAGTTCAAGGGTGGTGTCTTGCATTGGATGAGCTTCAACGGTGACACCCACCACCGCCAATGCCACTGCCATCAGCAGCACCACCACAACCCGCATCTTCTGCTTCTCGCACACTGAACACCGTGCTTTCTGCTGCTTCTGTATTGGGTGGTGCTGACTCAGCAAAAACAAAAGCGACTCAGGCGAGTCCTTCTTCTTCTCTCTTCGATGCAGCGAAGTCGGGCGAGGCGAAACCGTTGCTGCCTCGCTTGCTTGCTTGCTGGATTTGCTTGCTGGATTTGCCTGTGTTCGTGCCACCACCACCACCACCACACCACGCACTGCCGTTACATGTTATTCTGCACCCACCCCAAGCACCCACGCACCCACGCAGAGCAAAGCACTCATACTTGACCCCTCCATTCTCTCTTCTCTCTCGATCCAACACACACACACACACACACACAAACACACACACACACACACAAACACACACACACAAATACACGCGTACATACGAACACACCCACCCACAAACACAAACACACGCACACACACGCAACAGCACGCTCGCACACGCGAACAGATCATACGACATGGCGATGGCCTTGGCTCGGCGTGCTGCCTCCGCATGGGCGCCGGTCACTTCTCGGTCGTTGTTGTGGGCACCCGCGCAACATGCGCATGGCCTTCAGCCACCACGCGCAGCACACACACAGCAACAACAGCAACGCCAGCAGCCGCCGCATCAACACCTTCAACAGCAGGGTCACCCCATACAGCAACAGGTGCGCTGGAAGAGCGCGCGAGCACAGAAGGTGGAGGCACAGGCGGCCTCGCCAGCAAGCCGAGTCAAGAACGAGGACCCAAGCAAACGAAAGGTGTTTGTGCAGAAGTTCGGTGGCACCAGCCTGGGAACCTTTGAGAAGCTGGAGAAGGTGGTGAACATTGTCCGCACCAACCTGGAGAAGGCCCGGCTGGCGTGCGTCGTCTCCGCCATCAGCAGCGAGACAAAGAGCGAGGGCACGACATCACGCCTGCTCAACGCCGCGCAGGCCGCCGTCAACGAAGACCCCTTCCACCACTTCCTCGACGCCATTGAAGACACGCACCTCGACATCATCTACTCCATGATCCGCAACCCGGACAACCGCGACGCCGCCAAGCAGCACGTGCTCAAGGAGCTGCGCAACGTGCGGCAGTTCTGCGAGTCCCTCACCGTCATTCGCGAGCTCTCCCCGCGGTCCCACGATATGATTGTCGGCTGCGGCGAGCGGCTGTCTGCGGGCATGATCGCCAGCGTGCTCAAGGAGGAAGGCATCCCCACCGTGTACATGAACCTGAGCCACCTCTTCAAGTCCCCGCTCGACGCCAACAAGGTTGGCTATCACCACAAGGCCATCGCCGCCCTGCAGACGCAGCTCGACAAGACGGTGGATCTCGACTACGTGGTGCCGATCATCACGGGGTACATGGGCGACATCGCTGGCGGCATCATTGACGGCATTGGCCGCGGGTACTCTGATCTCACTGCTGCCCTTGTTGCCGCGGCACTCAAGGCAGACGCGCTGCAGGTCAGGCTTGCATGAGCTGAACTGACTGTTTCGTGTCGTGTGTGTGTATTATGTCGTGTGCGTGTGTGTGTATTATGTCGTGTGCATGTATGGTATGCATGTGCGGTGTGCGGTGTGTATGTGTGTGTGTGTGCATGTGTGGTGTGTGTGTGTGTGCATGTGAGTGTGTGAGTGTGTGTGCATGTGTGTGTATCTCCGTGTGCGTGAATGCGCACGTGATTTTGCCGCCCTCACTTCCGACTCACACCAACTCCTGTGCACATCCCCCACCCGCCAATCATGCACGCGCGCTGCTGGGTTGTGCAGGTGTGGAAGGAGTCTGATGGCATCTTCACCGGCAACCCGACAAAGATCAGCAATGCGCAGCTGCTGCACGTCGTGTCCCCGCGCGAAGCCGCAGAGCTCACATACTTTGGCAACGAGGTGTGTGCAGTGTGTGTGTGTGCAGTGTGTGTGTGTGCAGTGTGTGTGTGTGTGTGTGCAGTGTACGTGTGTGTATGATGAAGGCTGGGTGGGTCGCAGGACATTTGTCGAACATCGCATGCACGCATGCATGCATGGCGTGGTGTGACTGTCCTCCTGATCATGTCATCGGCAATACACTGCATGGTGCTTGTTGTTTGCGATGCGCAGGTTTTGCACCCGTTTACAATGGAGTGTGCAATTGAGGCGAACATCCCCATCCACATCCTCAACACCTTCAAGATTGACTCGCCAGGAACCGTTGTGAAACCCCACGCCACCCAAACGGAGCTTGCCGAGCGCGGCTTGCGCAACATCGCCGCTGTCGTCTCCAAGAAACACATTGACGTCATCAATGTTGCATCAAACAAGCGCCTCGAGTCTGCCTCGTTCCTCGCCAAGGTCGATGCCTGTCTGCTGTGTGATGTCGTGTGTGTGTGTGTGTGCTTTATTTGTGTGTGTGTGTGTGTGTTTATGCTCTTCGTTGTACATATATACGTGTGCGATACGATAGCACGTGTTTGTTGCGCATCCCATGGAAGAGGTTCCTTCGTCCCTCCTCACCCCAACCACACATACATACACATACACACACATACACACACATACACACACATACACACACATACACACACATACACATACATACACATACACACACACATATACACACGTACACACAGGTGTTTGAGCTGTTTGCCAAGCACCGCGTCAAGGTGGACCTGATCTCCACTTCAGAGACCAACCTGTCCATTACGGTGCACGAGTCTGTTGAAGGCCATCGCGTGCAGGATTTGGTTGCGGAGTTGGAGGCGCTTGGGCGCTGCAGCATCAAGCGCAACCGTGCCATCGTCAGCATCATTGGAGAGGGCATGGCTAAACAGGTGAAGAGAGGCTGCCGTGGCTGCTTGTGGTGCTTGTGCTGTAACGCTTTTGTTGCGTGGTTGAAGCCACAGTGCCTGCGCTGGCTCTCATGTCTGCATCGCTGGGTCTGGTTTTGTTGCAGCATTCGCAATCATTCTGTTCTCTTCTGTTAATCACACACACACACACAAACACACACACACACACACACACCAACGCGTGCGATGCCGCACTCAAACTGTGCCGCCATAATAATTACGTACTTCTGCCATGTGTGTGTGTGTGTGTGGTGTAGATTGGGCTTGCTGCGGAGATGATGGACTGCCTCTCCTCGCAGAAGATCAACTTTGAGATGATCACACAGGGCGCCAGCGAAATCAACACCACCGTCGTCATCAAGCAGGACCAAGCAGGTGCCGCGTCTGGGCGTGTGTGCGTGTGTGTGTGTGTGTGTGTGCGTGTGTGTGTGTGTGTGTGTGTGTGTGTGTGTGTGTGTGTGTGTGTGTGTGTGTGTGTGTGTGTGTGTGTGCTCTGTGCTGATACCCATCCCGTGAGAAAGCACGAGCTTGGCACTCACTATGCTGCACATGCACACCACCACCACCAACAACAACGGACAACCAATGCAGATCTGGCTGTTCAGGCCATCCACGAACGGTTCCTTGATGCAAGCAAGAAGTAGGGCGTTCATGTCAGTTGATGTGATACCCGTCCAGCATCAAGCAGGTGCAACCAACGCTCAGTGCATGTTCCCTCGGTGTAGGGTGTGTACTCAACCGTGTGTACTCAGCCGTGTACATGTTGTCCATTCTTCGTTACAATCGCACACGTCGAGGCGGTGAGGTGTTGTCGCTTGCTTGCTGTTCCTTTGTGACACACACACACACACACACGTACACACACCCTCTTGCTGGTGCCACCTTTCCCTTTCTACGCAAGCTTGTACACTCCTCCACACAACATTGCATACCGTTACAACATTACACATGGAGCAAACACCACGCTGAAGAGGCAGAAAGAGCTGTGATGATGGGGAGAGGGCCACGAAGAAAAGGGGAAGGGGATGGACAAGGAGGACGGGTCAGTCCTGCGAGTCAAGGAGTCAGTGTCATCCTTCATCATCATTTCATTCTTCCACGCAAACAACATGTCCGCTCATGCATGGCATTTCTCTTCACAAACAAACAAGCAAGAAGCTCGGAAAACACCACAACAGCGATGAGCACGGTGGGCGGTGCTGCAGGCACGTGTGGTCGCCAGCTGCTGGAGGGTGTGCTGGCACAGGATGTTGTGCGGGTGGACAGCCTGCTGGGCCGGGCAACAAAGACCGACGTGAACACAAAGGACAACGAAGGCACATCCTGTCTGCATCACGCAGCTCTCCTCGTAAGCCGCGATTGATATCTGTGTGTGTGTGTGTGTGTGTGTGTGTGTGTAGTGTGTGTGTGTGTGTGTGTGTGTGTGTGTGTGTGTGTGTGTGTGTGTGTGTGTGTGTGTGTGTGTGTGTGTGTGTGTGTGTGTGTGTCCTGTCCTTTCAAGTAAGTTAGTGTCTTTTCAGCTACCACTGCCACTGTAGCAGCTGTTGTTGTTGCAGCTGCTGCTGATGCCGCTACCGCTGCCGCTGCTCATACCCATCCCCGTCTGTCACCCTTGACCCCTTTGTGCCTGTGCTTGCACCCAATCACATTGTGTTACACAGGGCAACTCCGCACTCGTTGATCTGCTGCTGTCTGCTGGTGCAGCCGTCAACGCACGTACGTCCTTTCTGTCAATTGTCACTTGCGTGCGTGCACACACGCACACACTGATGTACGCATGAACACACACACACACACATACACACACGCACACACATACACACACACACACACAACCACCACCACTTGTCCTGGCTTGCACTGCAGAGGATGCCAAGGAGATGACGCCACTGCACCTTGCCGCGTGGGGAGGACACACTGCGGTAGGCTTCCCAACAACAACAACAACAACAACAACAACAACAACAACAACAACAACAACAACAACAACAACAACAACAACAACAACAACAACAACAACATGACCGCAGATGGTCGACTCTGGTTTATGCACTGCTGCAGCTGCACTGCTTCACTGTGCGAGCCCTTCTCATGTCTTTTGCTGTTGGTGTTGCAGGTCTTGTCGCAGTTGCTGAACGCGGGCGCCTCTGCCTCATCTCAATCAGCAAAGTTGGTGCTGCGTGCTCTGCCATCAGGGATGATGCACCGTACCACAATGCCTGTCTTCCCCGCTTCCTTCTCAGCTTCGTGCTTCATGCTCATTCTCTCTTGCACACACACACACACACACACACACACACACACACACACACACACACACACACGCACACACGCACGCACTTACTCTCACACACACGCACACACACGCGCGCACACGCACACATGCACACGCACACGCACACGCACACACACATACGCACATACGCACACGCGCACTGACACTCACAACCACAGTGGAGACACGCCGCTGCACCTCGCATGCCAGCAAGGATCCACGGAAGCGGTGCGGGTGACGGGATGTGCACTGGTGCTGTCAGCAGCCGTGCTCGCTTTCTCCTGCGCTGCCAAATGCCCTGACCTCATGTCCCGTGCAACTAACTTGCTTGGTGTGACATCGATTCTCACCCAACAACCCCACTCACGCCACTGCATCCCACTGTCTGTATCCTATACGCTACCACGCCTCTGCATACACCCGCATCAGGTGAAGCAGCTAGTCGACTTTGGCGCCAACTTGACCGCTGGGAACGACGCCAACGTCACGCCACTCATGGTTGCATGCGAGGTGCGCTTGTCGTGTACGCCAGTGTGCAAGTACTTGTGTGTGTGTATATTTGTTTGTTTGTGTGTTTGTGCGTGCGTGTGCATTTGTGCGTCCGCGCGTACATGAACGCGTAGAAACCCCAGTTCTGGCGTGCCATCAGTGTATCGTGGCTCACTCTGCGTGTGTACGTGACGACGCGGTGACAGCGGGGGCGTGCCCCAATTGTGGAGCAGTTTCTACAGCTGCAGAAGACCTTTGGGCACTCTGTTGTGCACGTGCAACTGTGGAAGGAGAGAACCAGCGTCTTTGAGCCATCAAGCGACAGCCACCCACCACGTGCGTGCAATGCGCGAACTTGTGCACTTGTGTGCGTCTGCAGATGATGTTCGCATGTGCACATTTGCACCTGTCAACAAGCACTGCTCGAACGAGAGCGCACAGCCACCAAACTCGCGCCCATACCTCCATTCTGAACTCACCACCATCATGACCATCAGAGCCCCGGGACGTTGCGTTCATCATGCGCGCCGTTGAGCGCGATCACGCCCACATCATCCACCTCCTCGCTGACGTGCGTGTGTGTGTTTGCATGCATGTTCTTGGGAGCATCAAAGTCAATTGTATTGCATGCTCGTGCTCTGTTCCTTCGTGTATCATGACCATAAGTTTCCATGACACCATCACCACCACTACCACCACCGCCGCCGCCGCCGCCGCATGCAACAGTACGGCATTGACTTGTGCTTTCCGCCCAAGAATCCCCCAATCGTTCGCGCAGCCCTCCTCAGGTGTGTGTGTGTATTGTGTGTGTATTGTGTGTGTGTGCATGAGCGCCTATTGTGCCCTGCAGATGTGCACAGGCTGATCCTCCATGTCTGTGCCCTTCGTGATATGCGTTAATGTGTTGCTGACACGACACCCGTCTCCACCACATGCACAACGCTGTCCACCGGCGACAGGAAACCGTGGGCGCTGCATGCCCTGCTGCAACACGACGGCCTCAGAACCCTCGACCTTGTGAGTACATGCAGATTGGGACACTGGCACTGGTCTGATAGATAAATGGGCTGATTTGATTCCCACTTGATGTGCTTTGTTCGCTAACAAATTTCCATTGCTTTGCTCGGCTGTGCACCCTCGTACATCCACAACACACGCACACACACACACACACACATCCACAACACACACACACACACACGCACACGTGCGCACGCATGTCGTGCCAGAGCAAGGACGAGAGAGCGCAGGTGACGGCGCTGACGGGGGAGCTTGAGGACACACGCGCCCCTGTGCCAGTGCTGCTGAAGCTGTGTGCAATTCTTCAGTCGAAGAGCGACTTGCACACGAGCGTGGAGGATGCAGCAGGCGTAAAACAGCAGCAGCAGCAGCAGCAGCAGCAGCAGCACATGAAAGGGTACATGGTTGTGCCGTGTGTTGAGGTGGTCTTCAGCAGCGACGACGAAGATGAGGAGGAAGAGGGGGACGAAGATCGAGAAGAGGAAGATGCACAAGTACATAGCGATGGTGGGGCGGAGGATACAGGAGGCAACCACGATGATCGTGATGGCAAGCTGGGTGATGCTGCTTCTGACGAGGGCCTCACCCCAGCGCAGGGTGAATCTGCACCAGCACCAACAGCCATGGAACCCGACGCCACGACCACACCAACAGCCACCACAACAGCGACGAGTGAAGTGCGCATGCGGAAGAAAGGGCGCAAAGCGCCACGTGCTGCTGACAACCGACAGTCGTTTCTCGCACCGAGCTCGACCCACCACGATGACGCGTGAGGATATGACTGATTTCACGTGTGTGTGTATGTGTTCTTGTGGTGTTTGAATTCTGCGAGCAATGGTGTCATTCACACACACACACACACACACACACACACACACACACACACACACACACACACACACACACACACACACACACACACACACACACACACACACACACACACACACAACAGCGGCGTTCGGGTCCGCCAGCGGTCGTCGTCCATTGGATCTGCGCGCGTGTCCGCACACGTGCGTGCATCCCACATCTTCCCGCCGTCGCAGGCGCAGCGCGCATCACGCATGTGTGACGTCCTCACACGTACGTGTCATTCTATGCATGTGCCATGTGGACGTGTTTGCTTGTGTTTGTGGTGTTTGCGTTGTTTGAATTTGGCACAGCTGTGGTTTGACACCGGTCCACCTGCTCCAAAGCAATCCCCACATCCGGCCTGCTGTTCGCTGCTGCTGTGGCAACTCATGATGCTTGCTTGTCGTGCAATCCACATCCATATGCACCCATCAACAGTTGATCTCCCAGCACCGCCGCCGCCAGCATCGTCATCGTCTTCTTCGTCTTCAGCGCCGCGTGCGTCGCATTCGCACACCGCAGCACCAGGTGTGTCAGCCGCTGCTGACGCTGCTGCGTGCCATGTGATTGCCAATCTCCAACCTTCCTTGCACGTGTACAAACACGCATCACAACACCATCGCCCCACAAACATCACACAAACACACATACACACACATATACATTCATCATATCACACCCCCCACCCCCCACCACCACCATCACGACCACCACAACGACGACGACGACCATCACCACCATCACCACCAGCGGCACTGGACATCCCGCCACCGCCTTCAAAGCCGTCGCCACAAACACCAATCTCGTCCACGGATGCGCGAAAGCCATCGGCCAGCTTGTTTGGTAGGCCAGCAGTACTGGGGTGCAGTGGAAGATGCGTGCGTGCATGCGTGCGTGTGTTTTCTGCCGCCGCCACCGATGCTGCTGCTGCTGCTGCTGTTGCTGTTGTCCGCTGCTGCTGTTGTTGCGATTGGCGTGCCCGTGCAATTTCTGCATGTTTCAGCCTTTGTTCTCCACGCTGCTTCCACACACGCTTTTCACACACATACACACACGCATACACCACACGCATACACCACACACACACACACACACACACGCACACACACACACACACACACACACACACACACACACACACACACACACACACACACACACACACACACGCACGGCGAGTGCCTGTAGCCATCACGCCCAGTGTCACTGAAGGCATGCAAGCCAACCCGCACCACCGTCACCGCCACCTCCCCGGCCGTGTTGGCGCTGCCATTGGCGGGTCTGTGCTGCCCGACAGCATAATTGAGGGGTCACTGTACAAGCGTCCACGCGGGCGCACGAATCGCATTGCAATCGCAGGACGGCTGCGACACCGCTGGTTCGTTCTCACAGAGGCCGCGCTCTCATACTACGAATACGACGGAAAGAAGGTCGGTGTGCCGGCCTGTGTGTGTGTGTGTGTGTGTGTGTGTGTGTGTGTGTGCGTGTACTCGTGTGTGTGTATGTGTGTGTGTGCGTGTATGTGCGTGTTTGTCATTTGGTCGTGACAACGCACCCATTCCATGGCTGACGGTTCACGCTTGCATGTAACCTTTTCTCTCACGCCGCCGCGTCTTCATCTCCCCACGCACCAATTCATGATTTATTGTATGAACGCGGTGCCCAGGCTGGGAAGCTGAAAGGGTACATACCGCTGTACTCGATATTGGGTGCGCAGGCCAGCCCGGCGGACGAGAGGGAGTTTATGGTGCTGCACGACACAGCGATTCTGCGATGTATCTCCGCCTGCAAGGAGGAACGCGAATCCTGGATGACAAACATCAACCGCACCTGTCTTCGCGTGCAGCAGGGTGTGTGCGTGTGTGTGTGTGTGTATGTGCGTGCGTGTGTGTGTGTGTACGTGTGTGTGCATCGCGTTCATAAGTGTTTGCACTCCAAATGCGTGTCTTCGTTCACCCGTCCACTCTCTCACACAAATGTACACAATGCGTTGCGCTTGCGTGTGCAGAATCAAAGCAGCAGGTGTGGTGACACGAGCGATTTCTTGGCAACCCCATGCATGTACATCACTGTCCTCCACCCACACGTGCATGCACCACCACAGAGAGCGTGACGTTGCCTGATCCTTGACAACCTCTCACATGCACACCACCACCACCACCACCACCTGCTCACTGTCGTTCCCTCAGGCTGTTCCCGCTGTGCTTGTTCGAGACCTTGGGCTACAGGCCCCAGAAGCATAAACGAAGTGTCACACGCATTACATTCTGTCACGCCATCCCCGAAAAGCCCTTGCGTAGCGCGCACAGTGTGTCAGTCGTGTGGCTCGTTGCACTTGTTTCGTTTATTCATTGCGTGTGTGGGAAGGGAATGAGGAGGGGGTGGGGCGTTGTTTGCAAGGAGCGATGGTGGGGAACGACACGAGTGAATGAACGTGGGCAGGAAGACAGAAGGAAACAGCATCCACAGCTGTGTGCGAGTGTGTGTGAGCTATGAGAGACACGCTGGGACGTGTGCATCGACAAAGACGAGCATCATGTATCTGGTTGGCTGTACGGTGATGGGCGTGCCAGGCGCGACCCTCTTCGGCTGCAACTCAGGGAGGTCGCCAGCCGCCGTCAACTGTGCGTGAGTGAGTGTGTGTGTGTGTGTGTGTGTGTGTGTGTGCATGTGTGTGTGTGAGAGAGAGAGAGAGTGTGTGTGTGTGCATGTGTGTGTGAGAGAGTGTGTGTGCATGTGCGTGTGTGTGCATGTGCGTGTGTGTGCATGTGCGTGTGAGTGTGTGTTTGTGTGGAGTGGTATTGTGCGTGAGGGCACAGCAAGGAGGCACATGTTTGAAAGGACCCACACATACGCACACATACACACACATACGCACACATACACACAGGTACATACACACACGCACACATACACGCACACGCACCCCATTCCCATCACACCTGCAGAGGGTTGCCGTTGAGAGTTGCCGTCGTGTCACTGGCACGTGCGTTGCTTGGCTGAATGTCGTATACACCGATGCGACTTGATGCCAACTTCTTGTTGTCGAAGCGCAGCGCGGCCGCGGTGGTGTTGTCTGTGTTGAGGACCATCAGGGACACGGCGCCCTTGCCAGCGAACGTGTGTGCAGCCGGTGTGCAGTGTGCATACACGCGAACGGTTCTCGCGCGCGCAAGTCCACCATCCACCGCGAGCACGGTTGGTCCAAACAGGCGCTTGTGCAGAACAGAGAGCCAGTAGTCGATGTGCGGGGTGAGGGTGTCGTGTTCGATGAGCGAGTACACACCGCCCACCAGCGTCTGGCGGCAAACGATGCTGGTGTTGAGACGGGCAGCAACCCCGAGCTTGTCCAGCCACATGAACCCTGACCAGAGGATGGCATTTGTTGGGTTGGAGGGTGAGTACAATGACCTCTTCCACGTGCGTGTGTATGCGTGCGTGTGTGTGTGTGTGTGTGGTGAAGATGCTCACACAGAGACGCACAGAGACAAAGACAAACACGAACAAAGGTAGAGACACACACGCATATCTCCACACGCACACACGTACACGAACAAATACACACACACGTACACGAACAAACAAACACACACACACACACATACACACCTGCTGCGTATGTTGGGCTCACGGATTTGGAGCCGCCGTCGTAAAAGTTGGATGTTTCGCCAAGCCACATCCAGATGTCACGGTGCTGGCTGGTTCGCAGCACGTGGCTGTACGCGGTCGCCTCGTCAACAAACTTATCGAGAACAAGCGGGTCGCTGGCCATCCACAGCTTGGCTGATGCGCCGCTTCCGTAGTACTGGTGCCACGTGGCACCGTCGAGCATGCCCACGGGCACGTGCTTCAGGAACGTGGCCATGTACGCCTGGCCCTTGGGACCGGAATCAGCAATGTCTGCAGAAATGGACGAAACGCAGTTGTCGCATAATTGCCACGAACAGTGTAAGTGAGTGAGTGTGTGTGTGTGTGTGTGTGTGTGTGTGTGTGTGTGTGTGTGTGTGAGTTGTTGTGGGGGTTCACTGCATTTCTCGGCCACACGTGCACATGCATGGTATGTGGATGCCATCACGCCAAGTTGCTGCATCTCGTCACACACACACACACACACACACACACACACACACACACACACACACACACACACACACACACACACACACACACACACACACACACACACACACGCACCTGGGCCCATGAGCCACGTGATGGGGAAGAGGTTGTTGAGGATGCCGCGGAGACGATAAAAGTCATTCCCGCGCTGCCCAGGCGTCACCGTGATGTTTCGCTTGGAGTACAAATCTATCAACGCCAGTCAGTGAAAGAAGAGGGGGAGCACGCGCAAAGGGCATGGGGAGGCACGTCAATGTATGATGGCGCTTGCGGCTTGCATTCAAGACAACTGTGGCAACCACACAACAATGTGTACGCTGACATGCATAGGCAGTCACGCACAGCTGCACACAATCACACAAGTACACCCAACACACACACACACCCGAAACACAACAGCATGGATAGACAGACGTGCCTGGTTCGTTGCCAAGCTCCCAGCCAACAAACTGCTTGTGGTCTGCAACGTAGTTGAGGAAAGGGAACGCCGGCTCCTCGTTCCAAGACATGTTCTTGAACAGGGTGAGGCCGTTCAGGCCAAACACAACCTCCATGTTGGTGGCGCCAGCAAAGGCGTAAATGGCGTTCCACGCCTCGGGCGTGAGCGTTGTGGTGGCATCGGCCCCAGTAGCGAAGTCGCCGCTTCCCTGCTGTGGGAAGCTGTAGTTCATGCGCTGGTGGGAGTTGCCGCCGAAGCGAATGTACCCTGGGCTGAGCGCCTTTGTCAACTTCTGCAGCTGCGGATCGGAGTAGTTGAGGGTTGCAAACCCACCATCAATGGTCACCGACAAGAACAAAGGTGGCAGCACGGCCGCCCCTGCTGTCACATTCACCTCCACGTCAACATTGTGCGCAGTGGCAGAGGCACCCGAGGCCAGCGTCACCGCCGCCACAACCATCATCACGACCATCCTCATCGTGTCCAGTGGCCTTTGCGAGTGCGACAACAACAACAACTGCAGCTGCAACCAACAACTTCAACAAACACCAACAGCAGCTGCAGTTGTCACTGACCCAAAAGCCAAACCAAACCCAAACACACGCAACCCGCGAATGTGAAAATTGGTGAGTGTGGCAGCCACTTCTTTCAAGATAGGAAGGACCGAAGAGGGCGAACCAGCAACCCTCATTCTCACAAACACACCCACACACCCACACTGCTGCGACGACGGAAAGGACGTCAAGCAAAGCGAGCAAGCACAGCAGCACAGCCAAGATGAGAACACGAAAAGCGGCGTCGCTTCTCCTCATCGCCCTGCTGGTCGGTGTTGGGGCGCTCGCCTTGCTGCGCAACATCCACTCGGACAACAAGGCAAGCCATTCCGCTGCGCAGCCAACGAGGCGCACGCACACGCGCACCCACATCACATGAACCACGTCGCACCGTCGTTTTGCAATGTGAACCAACCAAAACGCCTGCACACATCCCCCTGTGGCATCGCCGCGTTTTGATCCGCTCGCCTCACACATAGTCATGCTGCTCACCTCCGCCTGATGCCTGTGGCGTTCCACTTCCCCCCTCTACTCTCCAACTTCCCCCTCTCCACTTCTCTCTCTCTCTCTTGCCTCTGCTCAGGCCCCTACACAGTCACTGACCCGGGCGCTGCGGGAGCAGCGGTCACAGGAGCAGCGGTCGACGGCGTCGTCACGCCAGGAGCTCATCTCCAAAATCAACAACCTGCAGCACCAGGTCGATGGCCTCTCCCAGTCTGCGACGGAATTGATTGAGAAGCGGCAGCGGCTGCAGCAAGCCATCCACCAAAACGTGGTCAGCACCGCCCTGTTTCGCCAGGACGGCCGCTGCGGGCCCCAATACCCGGCACCAGGCGCGCCGGACTTTGGCCAGTGTGACCCCACAGCTGATGTACGCCCTGCGCATTTTGATGCCTGCACCATGCAAAACGCCTCCTTCACTTCCAGATACTCGCTCACTTCTCACCTGGCTTCCTGCCTGTTCTTGCTGTTCACATGCTGTTGTGGTTGTGTGTGTGTGTGTGTGTGTGTGTGTGTGTGTGTGTGTGTGTGTGTGTGTGTGTGTGTGTTCTCTTGTCCACTTCCTCGCGCCCTTCACAATTCCAGGCTGACCAGAAGGGACCATGCTGCAACCCCGGGACGTGAGTGCACGCTGGCGTTTTGGTGCCTTCACTGCTCTACAGCTCATTTTGGTGTCGCGTTCATGACCCTGGGGTTGAAAGTTGTTGATATTGTTCTTCGTGTACCACCTCCTTCTCACATTTGCGTGATGCTCACATGCCCCCGAATATCCGTGCACCTTGTGGCAAATTCAGAGGCTGGTGTGGCAACGTGCGTGGTGTGACTTGGGGCCACTGCCACTGCCCGGACTGCGTTGACTACAGCAAGAACGAGGAGAGCATCAAAATGGCCGAACAACACAAGCAGCAGCAGCAGCAGCAGCAGCAGCAGCAGCAGCAGCAGCAGTCACAAAAGCCGCGCCAGTTACCCCCTGCTGAAAAGGATGCAAGTGAGAAGCAACAGGACAAGAAGGACGCATCGCCGCCGCCACCACCACCAAAGTTCAGGTTCGTGGGCCACTTGCAACCTCTTATGGGACTGGCAACTGCGCAAGCGGAAACACTTTGCTGCTTCTCAGTCCGTCACTGTTGTTTGCCTCTGTCTTGTGTTTTGGTTTCGCGCTCACCATGGCACTGTGAACCACATCATCTGCACTGTCGTCTTGTTGGCAGGACCGATGGGCGTTGCGGGCCCATGTACCCTGCACCAGGCGCGACTATTGGCGAATGCGATCCTTACGCCGACGTGAGTGCGCTTACATGTGGCAATATCTTGCCTGCAAGCAACAGAATTGCCGTTTGTTTTGCTCCACACTCAGTTTGTGTGCTCGCTTCCTTTTCAGCCTGAGCATCCTCTCTGTTTCCCCATATCATAGCTTACGTCCCCACTCCCACTCGATTATCCGCACGTGTGCATTCGACTTTGTTGTTAATAGGGCGACCAAAAGGGGCCTTGCTGCAACCCAAGCAGGTACTGCATCCAACCCCCTTGATTCATTTCACTTTTGCCTGCATCACCCTGCATGCTATTCATGTCAGTAGTCAGTGCCTCCTTCGCTGCTACCCCAATTTCCACGCACAGACTCACGTCTTTCTCTCTCTGGAATTGCCGCCGCGCGTCACATGTCTCTCTGATCTCACTGCTCTGCCAAATTGCCATCAGTGGATGGTGTGGGAACGTGCGCGACGTGCACTGGGGTCACTGCGACTGCGAGGACTGCGTCGATTACAGCAGCGTCTATCACGTGGTGCAGCCCCGCAAACCAGAGCAGCGCTCCTCCAGTGCATCCGAAAAGGACAAGCAGCAGGAACTTCCTCGATTTCGGTAAAGAAGAAGCTCACACATCATGACAGAGCATGGTTTTCTGAACCCCCCCCCCTCTTGTGCCTGAAATGTGACGCCTCTGTCTCAACACGTGTACCTGTGTCTGTGTTGTGCCGCGCAGGAGTGACGGGCGGTGTGGTCCACGTTTCCCCGCACCAGGCGCGCCCACGTATGGAGAATGCGACCCACACTCAGGTACAGTACATTCTGTGTGTGTGTGTGTGTGCGTGTGCGTGTGTGCGTGTGTGCGTGTGTGTGATTGTGTGATCGTGGTCGTGCCTTGCGATACAATGCAACACCCCCAGCCACACCCTCGAGTTGCATCCTGCACGCCAACGATGCCCAGCTCACTCGCCCACACACTCGCCCACACACTTGCACCCCACCTCCACCACCATTTTGGCTTGCTTGCTTTACGGCCAGACGGAGACCAGCAAGGGCCGTGCTGCAACCCGGACAGCGGGTACTGCGGCAACATCCGCGGTGTGCTCTGGGGCCACTGCGACTGCCCAGACTGCCGTGATTTCAGCAGAGAGCACAAGCACAGCAACGCTGATGGTGGGTGGGGCCTGGCACAGTTGAGTGCCGGCAGCAGCGACAGCGAAGATGATGGTGAGGAGGTTGGGACGACACGACGATGCGATGCTCTGTTGTCCAAGGGGAAGGCAGGTTGGACGGAGCAGGAGCCCGTGTGCCGCCCCCTCTTCTCAAACGTCGACTTTTCCCTTCGAAAGGACTCCAAAGTCGCCTGCAGGTCCGTCGTGTGTGTGCTGTGTGTGCTGTGTGTGCTGTGTGTGTTGCGTATGCGCGCATGTATGTGTGTGTGTGCTGTGTGTGTGTGTTGCGTATGCGCGCATGTATCTCTCTTTCTCTGTCTCTCTGTCTCTGTCTCTTTCTCTCTGTCTCCCTCTGCCTCCCTCTCTCTCCCTGTGTACCCACTGCACCCCGTGCTCCCGAGCACCGGAATCAACTCACTCCACCTCACCACAACAACAGGCACAATGACGCGTTGGGAGCAAACGCCTGCGCTGCAACGAATATGCACTTCTCTTCGCCCAACGATATCACCTCCATCACCGCCACGTGTCTCATGTCACTACCAGAGAGCCAGCTGGCTCGATATAAGGTGCGTTGGTGTGCTTTGCTCTGTGTGTGTGTGTGCTTATCCCTGGCCGGGTTGCTTGTCATTGTCATCTGCCTTCTCTTGCAGCTTTCTCACCCCACATGCCACATGTCACATCCCGCAACCCACATCCCCGCATCCCACACGTGCACACGTGCACTTGCATCGACGTCCCCGTTCGAATGGCACGACAGGGCGACTCCCCTGCTGATGCCATTGTTCGTGCGCTGGCCGCGCGTTCCGACAGCAACGGCTACCTGTCCTCCGTACGTTGCCCCAGCATGCGCGCAGAGTTGCTGTGCTTACACGTGTGCTGATAATGAACCGCAGGTACTGTTGTCTTTCCCACAGTGCCCGACTCCCAATCCCGTGCTCACGCCTGCCTCTGCTTTAATGGTGTGTGTGTGTGTGTGTGTGTGTGTGTGTGTGTGTGTGTGTGTGTGTGTGTGTGTGTGTGTGTGTGTGTGTGTGTGTGTGTGTTTGTTGCTGATAGTGCACGGCTTGGAGCGATGCGCCACTTCTCGTCATGCAACAGAGTGCTGCCGTCACCAGCACTCTTTTCGCCGCGCACCAGGTCTGCAAGCACATATGTGTGTGTGTGTGTATTTTGTGGATGTAGTCGTGTGGGTGTGGTCGTGTGCAGAGTGCCGCCAAGCTCTACTGGATCGTTTCATGGTATGCAAGTGGGTACGCATTCATTTGTCACTCACAGCCCACTTGCACAACCGCTGCTGCTTGTTTGTTCGCGCGCGCGTGTGGGTCACAGGCTGTTTCGCTGTTTGGCCACAAGCTCTCCGACGTGGATGTGCTGCTCACAAATGAGGTGCGCGCGCACTTTGTGCACGAAGTACAAAAGGGCACGCGTGCTGTGATCCTGACACATCGTCTCATCTAGGCGCGCGTGGCACCCACGTGCACGGCGCTGGCTACTCATCTGTCCCCTTTTGGCTGCATTCCTTCCTCTCACCCCCGTCTCATCCTCGTGACATTGCATTTCCTGCCCATGTCTTTGTCAACACCACCACTGCCATCACCATTACTGGTGCCACGTTCAAGGCGGCTGAAACAGCGCCTTGGTTCTCTGTTGCACGAAGCGTCATGGAGGTGACAGACATCACACCAACCACATGCTATCCAACAGTCATCTTCGCCCACTCTGGCGCCACGTGAGTCTGTGTTGCAATGGCGCGTCTTTGTAGCGTGAGACTGTAGGCTTGTGCATGTGCGTGTGAAGTGATATGATGTCAATGTGCTTCTGGCATGTACACCCACCTTTACCATGCGTGAACAAGCGTTGCGCAGCGTGCACTGTTCACACACACACACACATTCACACACACACACACACACACACACACGAATGCGTGTTTGCTTGCAGATCCTTCTTTGAGACCCGCGATGCCCTTGATTGCTCCGTACGTTCACTCCACTTGCCAGTCTCTGTCTCTTATAGCCACCCACACCCGCTTGCAATCTCGCCTGCACATGTGTGTGTGTGTGTGTGTGTGTGCAGCCCTCTTCCCTCTGCCTTGTAGCCTTGCGCCTGTCTCGTGCAGTTTTTCACATCTGTGGCATGTGCTTATGACAAATCACACCACCACACTACACGACTCCTGTGTTTCAAATACCGAAAACAGGCGACGGCTGTGCAGACGTGCGAAGATTTTCTCAAGATCATCGCAACCCTCAACGTCCCAAAGCCGGAATGCCCGCAAGAGCTCTCTGCTTAGATATCAATCAACAGTTGCGCAGGTGTTGGCCGTGTGCTGCGCCACTTGTCTTGTGCAAGCAGCACAGTGATCAACCATCGCGCACGCGCCTCGCACGATGTTGCCTCGATAGAGATAATGTGTAGCAGCTCAATTTGTCCTGCCTTACATACGCCAAGTTGTCCAATTCTAGCCGTAGTCACCTGCCCATCCTCATCATCGTCGTCACCACCTGATCTTGTTACCATGTGCGGCTCTGAGCACGTTGTTACATCGCGCAGTACAGTGTAGTGCTGCTATTGATTCTTTGTTCCTGTCTTTCCTTTCCTCCCGCCCCCTTGCTGTTTGATTGCAGTTGTTGCGTGACGTGACAGTTGCGTGTCTTGTGACGATGTCTCGTGATGTCCATCTTGTTAGCTGTTGCACAGCAGCACCTCTCCTGTTATGTACCCGTTCACTTCTGCCCTGCCGCTTTGAAAGCACTGAATACACATAACGAAACACACACACACACACACACACACACACACACACACACACACACACACACACACACACACACACACACACACACAAGCAAGCAAGCAAGCAAGCAGGCATACAGTTGGCTTTGCTGTTTGTACCTCGCGTGCAGCGACATCCTCGGCCCAGTTGCCGACACGGCAGTTGGGGGTGTACGAGCGGTGTGCCATGGCCTGTTGTGGTGTTGGGGTGTGTTGCCTTGCTTGCTTGCTTGCTTGCTTGCCTTTCTCGTCTGTGTTCTGCTTTCTCTGTCTTGGGGTTGGTTGCCAGGGAAAATTTGCCTTTGACTGAAAGTCATTTCTGCCCTTCTTCCAGAGAAAGGACCACAACACAAACACAGCACGCCACGCTGCATTCACTGCACTCACTGCCCTCACGAACAAGCACACACGCAGCATGCGCGAGGACAACCTGACTGTTGGGGGTGGCGGCTTTGGCCATGGCTTTTGGGGCCAGCCAACGTCGTCCATCGACTGGTGTGAGGAAAACTACGTGGTGTCACACTACATTGCCGAGTTTTACAACACCGTGTCGTCGCTGGTCATTGCGTTGTTTGGGTTGTACGGCGCCATGCACTGGCGCTCTATCGGCCACGAGCCCCGCTTCATGGCCCTCTGGGCGTCCATTATCTGCGTCGGCATTGGTACACGTTTGTGTGTCCTGTGTGTGGTGTGTCCTCTGTGTGTGTGTGTGTGTGTGTGTGTGTGTGTGTGTGTGTGTGTGTGTGTGTGTGTGTGTGTGTGTGTGTGTGTGTTGTGCTCATTCATGTACGCCACCAGCAAGTTGTGTCTTCTCTGTCGTGCAATTTGCTGCCGAGTTTGTGTCCGCGCGTGGTCGTCTGCTCTTTGTGCTTGTTTGTGCTTTTGCGTGCCTGTGTTTGACCTTGCTATGTGCACTTTCCCGCACTTACATGCAGTCCTTGACTCGCTTGCTCCCCTGCACAACCACTTGTGTGTAGGTTCGGCTCTGTTCCACGGCACGCTGCTGTTCTCTATGCAGATGATGGACGAGCTGCCCATGGTGTATGCCATGTTGGTGTGGCTGTACATTTGGATTGAGAATGAGACCGAGACGCCGCGGAAGAAATACCTGCCCGCCTTCCTCGCCGCATATGGCGTGTTCTGGACCTTTGTCCACACCTACCTCGGCTTTGCCACCATCTTCCAGGTCGAGTGAGGGCGTGCGTGTGCGTGTGGGTGTGTGTGGGTGTGCAGACACTCGTGCGTTGCGTAGAGAAACGATGCACATATTTCTGCTTGCATTTGTGCATGCCATGCTATCCACTGCCTCACGGCCCGCGACCCACCTCACTTTTGTCACACACTCACGTCACAGATTCACTTTGGGTTGCTGGTGGTTGCGGGCTACACGTTTGTTGGTCGCTTCGCCTTCAAGACACAAGACCCGAGGGTGCGTTCGAGCGACCGTTTGCCCATGCTCTCATACAGTTGTGTTGTTGTCTGTTGGTCCTGTCTGTCCACCGCTTTGCTCCCAGGTCCTGCTCTCACCTGACACAAATCTGCTTGTACGTGTGTTTGTTCTTGTGTGTGTTTTGTGTTTGTGGTTTACATTAGATCAAGTGGTTCAGTGTGCTGTATGTTGCGCCGTTTGTGCTCGCGTTTGCGCTCTGGAGCACGGAGCGCATCTTCTGCTCCAGCGTCCGCCCATTCCAAGTCAGTACCCACACACACACACACACACACAGACATAAAGATACATGGACACATATGCACACACACGCACACACACGCACACACACGCACACACACACACACACACGCACACACACACACACACACACACACACACACACACACACACACACACACACACACACACGCACAGACAGACGGACACGCACACATATGCACGCATGGCTGTCGCTGCGGTTGCCTGCGATGGGTGCCCAGCACCCATTCCTGACACTACAATGCCCTCACCCCAATGCCTGCTGCCTTCGTTTGCAGTTTCATGCATGGTGGCACGTTCTCTCCGGAATCAGGTTTGTTGGTTTGCCTGCTCTGTGCGTTGCATAGTCACTCTGTTGCGTCTTCTTTGCGTGCGCGTGCGCGTGCGCGTATGTGTGCGTGCACGTGTCTTCTTCTCCTCCTCACCTCCTTCACCGTGTAACCAACACACACACACACACACACACATCCCAACGCCCTGCCATGAAACCTGGCGTGGTGGGACAGCTGCTACTTCAGCGTGGTGCTGGCCACAAGTGCCCGCCACGAGCAGCTGGGGAAGAAGATGAAAGTGTCTTTCTCGTCACTCGCGCTTCCCGTCGTGCATCCCGTGCACAACGCAAAAACGGACTAAACAACAACAGCAGTGACAACAACAACAACAACAACAACAACAACAACAACAACAACAACAACAACAACAACAACAACAACAACAACAACAACAACAACAACAACAACAACAACAACAACAACAACAACAACAACAACAACAACAACAACAACAACAACAACAACAACAACAACAACAACAACAACAACAACAACAACAACAACGGCAGGATGATCGTAGCTTTCAGAACAGGAGGTGGAGGAGGTGTCCTTGTGAACTGAGTCTTCTGCTGAGATTTTGGCCTTTCCTTGCATGCATGCACGTGCTGTGTTTACACCACCCCCTTGCATGTCCATTTTGCTGTCAATGTTTGTTCTACTGTGCACACCCTTGTACGTTTGTTTTCATGAAGCATGGTTTCACATCACACAACATTCAGTGCATTTGGTTTCTCTTTCTTTCCCAATGACATTGGGGGCGCTCACATTTTCTGCCCGTCCAGTTTACTTTCCATGTGTTGTTGTGTTTCTTCATGTCACTCTCTCGAGATCGTTTTCGCTTCTCCGCCGCCACAAGTAGCTGCAGTCTTTTCGAGTCATTTCAGCCACGCTAGCTTTTTCCTTCATTATTGGGCACGCTGCATCACGTTCCTGCTGTTCATTGGTAGCTGGCGAGCGTTTGTATACAACAGTGGACGAAAGCACGCAGGAAAGCACGCGCGTGGGCGAGCACACAAAGCAATCAATCAACCAAACAACCCAAGCGAGCCGCGGGGTTGTCAACACGCTGCCAACACGCTGTCAACGCGCTGCCAACACACACCGCCAACAAGGATGTATCCAGCCAACCGTCCGTGCTCCTGCGCATCACTGCGTACCAGCGTCGTCCATCGCCACAACAACTACAGGCACGTTGCCACTGCCGCCAGCGAAGGTGTGCGTGCCCTCTCCCGTGTTCACGACCAGTGCACGGGCATCCCTTGCAGGCAGCTTGATGGTGACCTCATCAAACGGGAGTGCAAAGGACGACGATGATGGTGATGGTGTGCGCACTGGAAGGTACGACACGAAGCGTTTGGTGACGCGCAGAGAGCACGTGACAGCCTCCTCGTCTGCACACACGTCGAGCGTGAAGACGAATTGGGTGCCGGCGTTGGAGATGCCATCATCCTCAATGTGGCGGACACACGTGCGACCCGGGCGCTGGGAAAAGTACAGCGTGAACACGCGGCCGCCGCACCCGTCACGCGAAATCTCCTGTTGGGTTCGATGGCGGTGGTGATGGCGATGGTTGGAAGGGAAGTGAGAAGAGCAGTGAAATGGTTCGAAAGGGGGGGGGGGGGGGGTTGAATTGGAATGGAAAGGCGATGTCGGTCATTCACAAAGCACGCACGCACGCACGCACGCATGAACACAAATACGCACGCACACACACACACAGACAGACACGCACACACACACACACACACACACACACACACACACACACACACACACACACACACACACACACACACACATACACACATTGACACTCTCCCCCTGCGCTACAATTGCAGTTGTCGCCTGACCTCTGTTGAGCGCGAGGGGGGCGATGCGAGTGTGCAGATCACAGATGCGTCCCGCACATATGTGATGGGCAGTGGGGATGACAGCGGGCAGTGGGCGGTGTACGTGCGACCACCCGCCAACCACGTGCTGCTGGCAACGTCGTACCACAGCGTCTTGGCACCACAAGCTGTGTCGGTTTGGTTAAGGGGGGGGGGAGGGGTCGTCGTGAGCACGAGGGTTTCAGGTGATGGTACGCAGAGGGCACACGGTAACGAAAGCACTGGAGAGGGAAGCTTTGTGCACACAACAGACATGTGCACAGACAGATAGACAGATAGACAGACACACACACAGACAGGTAGACATGTACACAGACAGACAAAGACAGACAGACAGACACACACACACACTCACACACACACACACAGACACACACATAAACACACAGACACACACCCACACACGCGCACATGCATGAACGAACCTGTTGGCAGGTAGACCTGGCGAGCCGTTGTGCCCGGGATGTAGATTGGGCAGACGAGAAGGGCGCTTCCAACCATGAAATCGCACGAGGAGCAATCGCGCACGTGGCGGTCGGCCTGAGCAATGGGGCATGAGGGGGATGGAGGGATATGTGGAGGTGCGGGTGAGGTTATGGATGGCAAGGTGTGTTTACTCGAGGGGTTGGCGTGGAAGGCGATGCAACAAGGAGGTGAGGGGTACACACACAAATACAAACGCAGACAGATAGACAGTCAATCACAGACAAACAAACAAACAGACAGACAGACAGACCCACACACAGACAGACAGACAGACGGACGGACAGACAGACAGACAGACAGACAGACAGACAGACAGACAGACAGACAGACAGCCAGACACACAGACAGACAGACAGGCAGACAGACAGACACAGACACACACACCCACACACCCACACACACACACCCACCCACACACACACACACACACACACACACACACACACACACACACACACACACACACACACATTGCACCTTTGCGTCTGGGAGCCCCCAGCAGTTGCGGTCATCGGGAAACTCAAGGACAAGCGGGCGGGTGATGGGGAGACCAGACACGTGCGCATCGTAGTGGAGGGTGTACATGAAGGGGTGGTGCAGGTACCGCTGCTGTATGCACGCGCGCACAACATCAACCGACGTCGCATAGCTCCACGGCTCCGTGCATGTGTTGTCGCTGTTCCAACTGCAGGTGGTGGGTGGGTGGATGCGGGCGTGGAAGAGGGGGGCGGGGAGAGGGAGTGAGTTGTAAGAGGAGGGGTGAAATGCGCTGGGAAAAACAGAAAGCAGAACGCAAAGAATGCATCGATGGAGGGATGAACGGGAGGGAAGAAGGGATGAAAGGTAGAGGTGGAATGGAGGAGAGAGGGAGAGAGATAAAAAGAAAGAAGGGGTGAGCATGGGTGTTCCTGCATCTTCAGTGCAGGCATTCCATCCCACGAGCCCCACTACCTGTGGATGGAGAAGCGAGGCATGAAGATGGCTGCCTGTATCCAGCGCAACAACAGCTCCTCCGAGGGCCTTGGCCCTGCAAACGCCCCAATGTCGTGTCCGTTGAACGGCCACCCGCACAGCCCGAGTGACAGGCCCATTGGCGTGTTCCACTGCAGCGTCTTCCAGCTCGTGCGGTTGTCGCCAGACCATGTCTGCGTGCAGTACCTGACGTCGTGGTGGTGGGTGCGTGTGACGGGAGAGTGAGCGGGTTCGGAGGGGGGACGGGATGTGCGTTCGTGTATGTGTATGTGCGCACATGCGTGTATGCGCGTGTATGTGCTGGGATTGGTAAAGACGTGTAACGTAGGCAGGATGTATGGCTCGTGCGTGTGTGCTAGCACGCACATCACGCACCACACCGTCTCGCCGCCACATTGATGACTCACCGCTGCATGCCGAGGGATCCCGATCGCGAAACGACGACGGGGCGCTCTGCAGGCCGCTCAGCAAGCAGCGCACTGGTGGTGGTGGTGGTGGCAACGTGATGTGGTGTGGTGTGGTGTGGTGTGATGTGGTGTGAGGGTGTGTGTGTGATGTGATGTGGTGTGAGGGTGTGTGTGTCAAGAAACCGATGTGTGTGTGTGTGTATGGCCGGGGGGGGGTTATGCTGATTGCCGGACATGTGTCTGCACGACTGTGTCGTTGTGAGAAGCACTGCAATCACAATCACCTCATTGAGCTCATTGCCATGAGCAATCCCTGAATTGGACGCATCAGCGACATTGGCATGCCCGATCCGCACACCAGCATCCCATCGTCCACCTGATCATCATTGCCATGTGTGTGTGTGTGCATGTTGTGTTGTGCGTGTACGTGTTCGTGTACGTGTGTGTGTTTGGTGGGTATGTGTTAGAAGCCTTCGTTCTGCGATATGAGATGAGCACAGCGTGTGCTCGCCACATTCACACCCATCACACCACGTACACCGACAGCCACACTAACAAGCCCGTGCCAGCGCACCTCGTATTCGTTGTTGTCGTTCCAGAGCGCCCTTGCTCCCTTTTGGATAAGCTGTGTACGGCAGCGGTCCGCCCACCACCTGTTGCGACGATTTGGGAACACGCGATTTGGACAACAGAAGCCAGGGGGGGGGCAGCATGGGCCGGTGTGAACCAAATCACGCACACACGCAGACACAGATACAGGCACACAAGCAGACACAGACACAGCAGGGATGGATGATGCATACCTGAATCCTTCCTTTGAGGAGAAGTCGATGTAGGACCCACGGGAGAAAGTGCCTGGACGAGGGAAGGAGCAAGGGGGTTGAGGGAAGGCTGGTGCACACAGCGACAGGGCGAGGTAGAAAGCGGGAGGGAGAGGAAGAGGAACGCAGACACACACACACACACACAAAAAATGTACTCCCACGCACACAGACACAGACACAGACACAGACACAGACACAGACACAGACACAGACACACACACACACACAGACACACACACACAGACACACACAGCGACCCACGCAAACACAACAAACGATCATGGGCTGAGTTGACTGACCAGCACCGCCAGACCAGAACAGGCCGACATATGGACGGGACGGATCGTCCGGATCGCGGACACACACGCCGCTGGCAACCGCACGCGCGTACTCGGGGTGGCTGTCGGCAAGCAGCCACGGCTTGATGTTGGGCAGCACGCGCATGTGCGCCTGTGAAGGAAAGAGGAGGATGATGCGTGTGCACGGTGAAGGTGAGGGAGCGGATGGCACACGCTCGCACACACACATGCACAGACACGGGGACATGGAAGCAGAAGGCAACGAGAACAAGACGTGGTGATGCAAAGAGGCGATGAAGGAAGAAGTCAAAGAACATACATACACACACATACACACACAGACAGACACACAGACAGACAGACAGACAGACAGACAGACACAGACACACACACACACACACCTTGTTGAAGTGGTCGAACATGGCGTGTGGATCCGGAATCCGGCGTGCGTTCCAGTTGAAGACGCATCTTGGCCCAAAACCGCCGTCAGCGCCGTCCACGCACGTGTATCCTTTTCCGCAGCGCCAGCAAGGTATAGGGAAGGGAAATGAGGTGTGGGGTGGGAGGTGGGAGCAGAGCTTGATATGGGGGATGAAGGTTGCAAACTCAAAGGTAAAAGTACACACGAACAGATAAATACACAAACAAACAAACCAACCAACCAACCAACCAACCAACCAACCAACCAACAAACCAACAAACCAACAAACCAACAAACAAGCACATGAGATTGACCTGAGGAGAGGTGGAAGCCGTCGCAGAGAATGTCATGCGAGTGGCAGAGGGACACAAACTTCTTCAGCTGCTCCTGCGCATCGGGCGCCTCTGTGTATGCCATTGTGCTGCCAAGATAGCCTGCACCCACCCACACACACCCAGCACACGCACATGTGAGCGAGAGTGGGGGTAGACAAGAAGAAGCAGAGCACACACACACACACACACACAGACATGCACACACACACACACAGACAGACAGGCACATACATGCTCACACGAAACCCTTTTCCCGTCACACGACGACAGCAGCTAATGCGGCTCACCGAGGCACCAGCGAGGCGGCATGAGTGGCCGGCCAATCAGTCGTGACACATCCTGCACCACAGACTTCAGATCTGAAACAGTGCGACGATTGGGAGTGGGTGAAGAGAGAACAAAGCAAGAGTGCATGGCGATGCATTTTGAGTGCTTGGTGTGATATGCACGTAAAGGGAAACAAACGCGCACAAACACACAGATAGACAGACAAGCAGGCAGACACACACACAGACACACACAGACACACACAGACACACACACGCACACACACCCTGGCCGAAGATCATGTAGTACTCGAGGTCGCCGTCTTCAAACTGGGTGTAACGGTACGAACCGCGGAACGCGCTAATCTCACTACCAAGGTCCATGACACCACGCGCAGAGGAGTCGTACACCATCGCATACCATCCCAGGCTGGCGCCAAGCTGCCGCGAATCGCTGCTTTCTTCCTGCGTCGAGAACGCGGGTGACGTGACGGATGTGGGCGAGGTTGGCGATGCCGTGTCGTCATGCTCGACGCTGTCCAGCAGTTTGTGCAGCATTGCGCTTGTTGTGCTGCGCTGGTACTCCTCGTCCTCCTCGCCCAGCGGCGGCTGTTGTGCCGCTGCATCAGCGTCTGCCGGCGGGGAGCGCACGTTGACAAACACAATGGGACAGTGCTTGTACAACGGCCCGGAGACCTGGCGGTTGGTGGGATCGCAGGAATAGCCCATGGCGTCAATGGCATCCAGACGCACGCGCGTGCCGTAGCGGTTGATGCGGCCAGCCGCCTCGCCCAGACCAAAGTACGCCTCCTCCTGCGCGCTGCGCCGCTCCATGTAGTGTGTCACGCTGCCGTGGCCCTGGTGGTCGCCATCGCCGCCGCTGTGACCAACACCGCGGTCGTACGTGTACGGCGAGCTGGGGAGGTCGCGGGCCACGAGCGCATCCTTGAAGTGCCATGCCAGTGCTGGGGGCTCGCCCGGCTTGGCGGTCGCAGACACGCGCACAGATGAGCTGCTCATGCTCCAGCCCGATCCCTTCTGGTTCTCGCAGACAACATTCACTGCCTCGCTTGAGCCAGAAAACAGATCGTCCCGCCGCGACCCATGCACACGCAGAAATTCTGCGCCAGGGTGTCCCTCATCCAGGAACCCCGTGGCCACACTCTGGCTGCACGGCTTCTCTGCATCATCATCATCATCATTGGTGGTTGTGGTGGTGCGGGTTGTTGGATCGTGTGTTGGATCGATAATCCAGGAGCGATCCACGCGCCGCTTTCCATCGGGGCACAGCGTTACCCGCACAATGTGATCCTCCACAAACTGGACGCGCAGCTCTTCCCCTCTCGCTCCTCGAATCACGCCAGCGCCAGCGCCAGCGGCACCATCGCGGCCATCCTTGCCGTTGCTGTCGCTGGCAACCAGCAGTGGCACAACCCGCGACATCTTGTTGCTTCTTCTTCTGCTGTTGTGCTGTGATTTGTTTGCAGAAAATCTATTGAAAGTTTCAACAAATTGTCGTGCCACTTTCTGGACTCGCATTTGCTGCTGGCGGATTTGGTGTGCACGTGTGTTTGTTGTTGCCTGTGCTGCTGAGGTGCTTGTCTTTGCGATCCTTGCTTGTTGGCTCGTGTGCGTGTTGCTGTTCTTTTTGGGAGTTGACGGGCTGTTGGGGTAAGATGCGACTGCGCAGCAATCTGAGCACCAGCCCTGGTGCCAACCGTGCGGAGGTGCCACCGAGCACGGCAACACGCAGGCGCACGCGTCGCCGCAGGGAGCTTGAAGAGCAGGAGGAAGGCAGCGAGCAGACGGTGGAGCAAACGCCTGTGAAGGCAACAGCAACCAAGACACCCAAGAAGAGCACTGCGAAGCGGCGCACAGCGACCAAGAAGACCAAGAAGACGCCGAAGAAGACGGAGCAAGAAGCCGAGGCAAGTAGCCAAAACACAGACGGCCAGCAGAAGCAGAAGCAGGAACAGGGTGATGTTGATGGTCACAAGGACTCCTCAAACGCGTCTGGGGAGGCGTCGCCGCCGCACACACCGACTCGCACACCCGCAGCCAGGAAACACCCGCCACCACAGACCGCCCGGCGATCATCGCGCCGCACCCGCGACGTGCCGGAGGACAACTGGGTGCAGGAGGCGACATCTTCGCCAGTGCTGAACCGCAAGCAGAACATGCGTCGCCTGAACTTGGATGAGGAGGACGACACGGAGGCGAAGGCCCCAACTTCAGATGACAGCGCTGGCGAGCAGGCGCAGAAGGAAGCAAAGAAGACCAGCAAAACGCCAAAGAAGAAGCAGAAGAAGAAGCAGGAGAAGAAGCAGGAGCAGACACAGAGCAGCGCAACAGCAGCATCCACACAGTCCAACGTGGAGGCCGCCAATGACCAGAGCGCAGCACAGAAGAAGGCAGTAAAGACGAAGCAGCAGCCTGCAAAGGATACAGCCAACAACGGGAGCAGTGCTGGTGCTGTTGATTATGTTGATGACGACGATGCGCCTGCGGAAGTGAGCCTGGGTGTCAGTCGTGACGCCGTCTTGCAGCGACTCGCAGCAGAGAAGGCCGCCGCAAAGAGGTTCGCATTGCAGTGTGCGGTGTGTGTGTGTGTGATTATGTGTGATTGTGTGTGTGTGTGTCGTCGTGTTAAAAGGAGTTGTTTGTAGTGTCGCGTGCTGTGTGCAAAGTGATCTCACCACATTGTCTTTGCGTCCTGTTTGTGTGCAGGATTGATGACCGCCGGAGAGCGCGTGTGCGCGAAGCCCGCGAACGCCGCAAGTACGAGTCGACGCTTTGAGAGATGGCGGGGATGTGCAAGGGAGCGAGTGTGCTTGTGTGCGTGAGATTGGGTGATTGTGTGTGCGTGTGGTTGTGCTTGCGTTTGAAGGGGGAGCAGGTGGAGTTGTGCAATGCGTTGAAAGAGATTTTTGGGCGTGCAGCGCAAGCCACAACCAGAGACAACGGCAACACGGCCTCACAGCATGGCTTGACTGTGGACGCGTGTGTGTATGTGTGTGCGGGTGTTCAGGGCGCAGAAGGCGAATTCGAAGGAGACGCAGCTGCTTGATCCCGCCATGCTCGAGCAGCTGGAGCAGGAGCACGGCCACGAAACCGGTGCGGGCAAGAGAGCGAGAGAGCGAGAGAGAGTGTGTGTGTGTGTGTATATGTGTATATATGTGCATGTGTTTATGTGTGTATATATGTGTGTGTATGTGTGTATGTGTGTGTGGTGCTTTGGGTGCGTGTTTTGGAAGCGCGAGTTTAAGTGGCTGTGACTGCCAAACACGCGTGACTGCATGGTTGCAGCTGTTGTGGTTGTTGATGTTGTATTTCTGACGCCCACGTCACACTGCACATTGTTACACTGCAGTGATCCCGGCGTATGCTGGGCAGCGCGTGGTGTTTGATGATTCAGAGGACGAGGACGAGGACGACGAACGCGCACGCATGCAGCTACAAGGTGGGGGATGCTCGTTGCTGGAGAGAGGCAGGGAGAGAGTTTGTGTCTCTGTATGAGGCTGTATGCGTGTGTGACTGTGCGTGAGTGACCTTGTGTGTGCGTGTGTGTGTGTGTGTGGCTCAACTTGAATGAGGGTGGGCACGCGAGCTGTATGCGCAATCCTCACGCATGCCTTCTTGTTCTGCTCTCTCATCCCAATGGCCAGACTTTGATGAGGACGAGGACGAGGACGATGAAGACGATGGCGAGCTGCCCACGAAGAAGACGAAGCGCAAAAGTAACATCACACACACACACACATGCACGCACACACACGCACACGATTGCTGCTTGTTGGTGGTGCTTTGTGTGAGTGTCGGTGCTTGCTTGCCTCGTGTCTGCCTGACCACCAGCTGACGACCAACTGCTTCGCTGCTGCATTTACAGACGGCCTTGTGTTCCGGCGCGGCGGCCTCAAAGTTGTGGTGAGTGGCCAGTTGGTGGTGGTGGTGGTGGTGGTGGTGGTGGTGGTGGTGGTGGTGGTGGTATTGATTTGTTCTTGTTGGAGAGGGGATTGGGGATGGAATGGGAGGAAGTGGTGTTGGTGACAGCTCTGTTGCGATATGTGCTCGTGCTGGATACCCGCATACAGTTCTTCACATGCTCACTTACACACGCACACACGCACACACACACATGCACATGACTGTGCAGTCGCTGAAGGAGCGCGAGGGCGTGCTTGGGCGCAAGACAAAGCCGTCCACGCTCAAGTTCATGCGCAAGCAGCGGCTCGGACAGGAACAGCGAAGATGTATGTGCAAGTTTGTGTGCGGGTGGATGCGGTTGTGTGCACGATCGGTGCGTGTTTGCGGGGTGTGGAGGTGAAAGACGTAAAACCAATGGGTGCTTGCTTGACCCGCCCTTGAGACAGGCTCGCGCATCCCTGCCGTTCTTACCATGTTCCTTTTTGGTTGTGATTGTGCGTGTGATTGTTCTGTTGCATGCAGCGCACTTCCGGCGAGCGCGGCGCATTGGCAGCATGGCCGCCAACTTTGGCCGCCGCTAACCGACGACTTGATAAAGGAGGAGGAGGGGAAGGGAACGGGGTGGTGTGGTGAAGAGGATGGGGAAGAGGGGGCTGAGTGCTTGAGATTGTTTGTTTGAGGTGCCGGGGCGGGGGTTGTGGTGCGAGCAGAGGACGGTTGAATTGACATAGACAGTAAATCAACGAGCAAAGAAGCCGTGCAAGCAGGACGAGGGGGTTGCTTTCTTCAGTGTGGTTGGTTGTGAGCAAGGGTTGTTGTGCATGTCAACCCACGGCATTGTGGACGATTCGCTGTCATTTCCTGTAGTTTTCGGCAATTCGGAGGACAACAACAACCATCATCATCATGGCTTCAAAACAGCAGTGGTGAGTCTTGTGTTGAACATGACACAGGTTGGCCTGAACGCTCTTGGGTGTCCTTCTGTCCTTCTGTCCTTCTGTCCCTTTCCCTTGTCTATTCTCCATGGCTACCGATGGTTGGTGTTTGTGGCCGTTGAGATTTTGGTTTGGTGGCTCTGTTCATCTGTTGTTGGGTGTCTTGTCCACTGCCGTGTTGGCTCCAGCATACCTCACCTCATGTGGCTCGTGGACTTGCAGTGACTATGTCTTCAAATTCGTCCTTGTTGGTAGAGATGCTGGCAAAACAAGTTTGATTAGTCAGCTGACAGAGAGTCAATTCGACGTAAGTTGTTTGCATATCCTTGATATGCGTGATCACGTCGTCATTGTTCATTCAGCATTGTCATGCGCTCCCTTATTCTGTGCGCATTGCATCTTCACACTGTTGCTCATACGTGATGCCGCCATATTTCAACCATTTCATTGCAGGCTCCCATTTCCAGCACCCTTGGCGTTAGCTTTGTATGTCTAATCCATGCTCATGCATTCGGTCTGATAGTGTTGAAGCGCACGAGGTGATGCGTGGAATCAGCTTCTTCCGCTACATGCTCACACTGGAACATCCATCAATTCTTCAGAGAACCCATGAACTCGAACTTCACGGGAAGCGCACACAGCTACAAATTGTACGTCCGTTGTGGTCATGTATTTCAATCCGCTCTGTCACGGCCTGTCCTCCGCTTCTTGACCAGAGCATGGGGTCATCAGGCAGCCACACGAACACTTTCACGCACTCGCATTCAACGAAGCACCCCTCATAGCTTCACCCTTGCCTCTTGGGCCCTTGCATGACGCTTGACAGTGGGACACAAATGGGCAAGAACGCTTCCGTTCCCTTTCGCATGCATACTGTCGAGGAGCACATGGCATCCTCCTTGTATATGACGTCACTCGGCGGGTGAGACGGCCCGAGTCTTCACTCGCGGTTGCATGCGTCTGTTGTTGAAGGTGCTTGGGGTTTGATGGTCGACTGGGAGTTACCAAAGCTTAGTCTGCAGTTTGTGTGATTGAATGCTCCAACAGGACACAGTCAACACCATTCTGGAGTGGATGAAGGACGTAAGGTCCTATTCGGATCCCAAGTGCTGCGTGGCCCTGATTGGAAACAAGTGCGATCTCGGAGACCATCGACAAGTGTCGTTTGAAGACGGCCAGAGGTTCGCGATGGAGAAGGGCCTCGTGTTTTTCGAAACAAGCGCGAAGACAGGCGAAAATGTGGAAAAGGCATTTCAGGAGCTCACAGCCCAGGTGGTGCATCGGCTCGAAACAGAAGATCCACCAGGTGGGGCGCTGCACGACGCTTGCCGCCAAGGAAAATTCGACATGGCATCCTCATTGCTGAAGTGTGGCCAGGACGCCAACAAGCTTAACGACACAGTGGGTTGCACAACGCATGTCTCTGCCAGCTTAGGTGTGCTTTCCTCGAGCTTTGTGAAGCCACATATTACATTCTTGTGGACGCTAACCACCATCGACCTCATTCACTCATGACTCCCTGCAATCAATCATCCAGGGGAGTCTTCCTCTGCATATGGCGAGCGGAAGCGGCGCGTCTGATGTTGTGCAGCTGTTGCTCAAGCACAGCGCCGATATCAATGCAAAGGACAAGAAGGTATTGGCCACCCTGTTCTTCTTGGATGCGCGCGCGTGTGCGTCTGCGCAAGTTCAGGTCTTTGCACTCGGGCAAGTTGTAGAAGTTTCTCTGTGTCTGTGTTCCTCCATGTTGACACGCGTCTGATGATTATTTCATCTGCTTGGAACCCCATCACTCGCGTTGGATATAACCACCCCGTCACCTCTTCACGTGCCCCTACTCCCCCGCCACCAGGGATGGACGGCCCTCCACTACGCCGCGTCCAACAATCATGCGAACGCTGTGCGCGTGCTCCTGGAACATGGCGCTGACACCACCATCAAGCACCGCTTTGTGAGTGAAGCATACAGCTGGTCGTTGCGACCCCACGCGCTCTTGTTGTGTTAGTTGCTTGATGTGCGTGTTGAACTGGATCGCTGTCACCCAACCTCTTTTTTGTGTCAAATCTGCCTTCCTGTTCATGCCCCTCCCATCATCTGCTTTCGCCGCACACGCACACGCACACACACACACACACACACACACACACACACACACACACACACATACACACATACACACACACACACACATTCCATGCGTGATTGACAACAACAGCTGTTCGGCAAGACGGCTCTTGACCTCGCTGTCAGCGGTGGGCACAGTGATGTCATTAAGCTGCTTCGCAACCCGCAGGTGTGTGTGTGCTATGCTTGTGATGTATTGTTGTGTTGCTGTGTCATAAGCTCTGCTTGTTCAAACTCCATCATTCCCTCCTCCTCCTCCTCCTCCTCCTCCTACCACGCACATTCATTCTGTTGCGGACTTGCCCTGTTCACGCATATTTCACCTCACCTGCGCAGGCTGTGCAAGCACGACCACCATCTTCACCACAACCTGCATCCCTCCATGATGCCTGCAAGCACGGTGACACTGCGCGTGTGTCTGCACTCATTGACAAAGGCAATGTGGACGTATCCGAACAGGATACGCAGGTACGTGTTTGAATACACGGGTGTGTGTGTGTGTGTTGTCTCCATTCCCTGGTGCAGATGAACGCAGCAGTGTATTCATCAGACTTGTTGCCTTTGCTCATGCTTGTGTGCTATCTTGTTCACGTTGATCATGGCTGCTTGCATGTGCAGGGCGATACACCGCTGCATGTTGCCTGCAGGCACAATCATGCAGCTGTTGTGCGGCTGTTGCTGAAGAAAGGTGCCAACATCACCACAAAGAATAACAAGGTGTGGCATGTTGAACCGGACACTTTCACTGCACACCTCCGTGTATTCTTTACATCTGTTGTGCAGTTTTGTGCGCGCGCCGCTGTATCAGCATTCGCGGGTCGTGCAGTGCATTGGTGCATGCGTGCACGAGGCTTTGCACCGACACCGTGAGAATGTGTGTGTGTATCTGCACTTACCCGCCGGACTGCCTTCTTGTGTCTGAATGATTGCAGGGTCAGACACCCTTGGATGTGGCAAAGGCAAGCGGTCACAAAGCCATTGCATCCATCACAGCGCTCCAACCCACCACTGCCACGACACCAAGCAGCGACAGCAACCAGCAACCGCCTGAAGATGGAGATGAGAAGGGAGATGAAGAGGACCCGACCACAAGTGAATTGGACGATGAGACGCAAGCCAGATTACAGCAGGAGAAGGTATGTGTGTGAATGCGCGCGTGTGCGTGTGCGCGTGAGTGTGTGAGTGTGCATGAGTGTGAATTCAATCGTGCACGCTTGCTTCGTCACACCCTCCCTCCCTGTGCTTGCTTCCGTGCAATACGAGCTCGTACATCTCGTCTGACTTGCTCACCCAACATCACACCACAACACACAGGCAAAGGAAGCGTACGTGGCAAACGTGAGGCGGATCATGCAGGAGATTGCCGAGCGGTGCGACCAGCAGATGGCGGGGCGGGCAAAGCTGAACTTGGTTGGCCAGGGCCGTGCGGGGAAGACGACAACGCTCCGCTCTCTTCGGGGCTTGGGCTTCAATAATGCCGAGCACTCGACCAAAGGCGCTGCAACCCACGACATGAATGTCACCGTGGATTCCATGGACGTTTACCAATGGAAGGTGAGCGCGAGAGGATGCGCTGTATGCGTGGGTGCTTGCGTGTGTGTGTGTGATGTTCCAAAACATCATGCACGGGCTGATGTCGTGGCGGCGTTGTCACTTGGTGTTGTCACACGATGCTGTGTGTTTGGCCTTTCACCAGAACGAAAAGCATTCCCTCCTCATCAACCACCACACTCTCAACACCACCTTCACTTCGCCTTCACCATTGCAGGCTGTGACTGGCTTTCTGTCTGAGGTTGCGCGGAGCCTGCGGGACACAGCGCTGGCGCAGGCGGGCGGCATGGACGCGGTGATGCGGATGAAGATGGAGGAAGCACATAGGCTGCGGGAGGAGCGCGTTGCACTGCAGCTCGTCAGCGAGATGGAAGCAGACGCACCAGTGGCAGACAAAGGGGATGTGCTTGGCCATGAAGCTGGTCTTGATGCATCCGGTGAGCAGGTGCTGGCGAGCGGCAATGAACCTGGTGCACATGTCGTTGATGATGACGATGATGACGATGATGATGATTATGATGATGACAGTGACGGTGGTGGAACTGAGACTGCTGATGCTGCTGAGCCCACATCAGCGTCATTGCCATCGCCACCCGCACTCGCAGCATCGTCTGCAGTGATGACTGCCGGTATGGGAACCGTGCCCAACATCTCAACTGAGGAGATTGAGAACGCGATCAAGGATCTGAATCTGGACACGACGTTCGGGGAGGGCAACGCCAGGGTGACGTTCAAAGTATTTGACCTGGGAGGCCAGTCCACCTTCTACATCTTCCACCCTTTCTTCCTCACCAAGTGAGTGGGATGTATTTGTATGTGCTCTGTGTGTGCTTTGTGTGTGCTCTGTGTGTGCTCTGTGTGTGTGTGTGTGTGTGTGTGTGTGTGTGTGTGTGTGTGTGTGTGTGTGTGTGTGTGTGTGTGTGTGTGTCTCTGTGTGTGTGTGTGTGTGTCTGCGTGGGTACGTGCTGCCTGCTGCCTGCTGTCCACCGCTGCCCTCCCCACACCCTCCTCACCCCACTCACCCAACCCCATCTTCACTCTCCACCCCCACAACAGGTACGCGGTGTACCTGCTGGTGTTCTCGATGGAGGATCTGCTGCACCAGGACAAGAGCAAGCGGACAGAGACGTGGGAGTTTATGGAGCACTGGCTGTCCTCCCTTCACCTCCACGCCAAGGGTGCACCCGTCCTCATCGTCGGCACCTTCGCTGATGTGGTCAGCCAGCGGAAGCAGCATGAGAACATTTCACGCGACATATACAGCCGCCTGCGCCACAACCCAGCCTTTCCTGGTGTCATTCACAACGACAAGCACGGTCTGTGGTTCTGGCCCGTTGACAACACCAAGTCCATCAATGACCCCATGATCCAGGACCTGCGCCAGACCATCTCCTCCACAGCACTGGCGCAGGAGTACGTAAGCCAGGAGGTGGCCGTGCCGTACCTCCACCTCTACGACAAGCTCCATGCCATCGCCCGCGACGAGAAACGACCGCTGCTCACGTTTGATGAGGTGGTGGATATTGCGCGCACGTGTGGGCTGCGCACGCGTGACGAGACGAGGGCCTGCCTTCAGTTCCTGCACCTGTACTCCATGGTGCTGTACTATGACAGCGTGCCAGGCATGGATGATTATGTGATCCTGAGTCCGCAGTGGGCGGTGGACACGATGACGCGCGTCATCCGCAACTTTGACCTGCACTACGATGCGCGGGATGGCGAGGCGAGGGCCGTTGGCGCGCAGCTGTGGGACGACCTCCTTGACCGCGGTATCCTGCATCGCCGCCTGCTGGATGTGCTGTGGAGGGACGTGGACAGCAACTTGATAATGCCGTTCCTGCGCCTCATGATGCAGTACGGGCTGTGTGTTGAGTACTCCCCACCCAAGCTGGTCGACAGCCGCAGAGCACTCGCCCGCACCAACTCTGGCCACGGTGACAACGCTACAGCCAAGGGCAGCAAGGGCAGCAGTCCCGGGCACCAGCAGTACCTGGTTCCAGCCATTCTGCCTATGACGATCCGCCACAGCAGCAGCACGATGGCATCCGTGTCGCTGAGCACGACAGCAGCACAACAGGCCAACCCGTATCTTGGCCACGAGGAGAAGACAGCCTACGTCACCTTCAGCCTGACGCAGTTCAAGCGAAGTGCGAGCGTGCAAGTTGAAAATGCACAGCACGCGTCGTTCCTGCCAGAGGGCCTCTTCACCGTTGTGCTGGCTCATGTGCTGGCGCATGCGCAGCACGGCGCATCGCAGGAGCCCAAGCTGAGCCGCACCCACGCCGTCTGCTTCATGGAGTCGACCAAGCTGGAGTTGCAGCTTGTGCCGGCTGTTGGCGGCATCAAGATGAAGATCACGAGTGCACAGCCACGCGCCATGCTGCACATGCTGCACACCATGATCAGCGAGGCCGCCAGAGAGCGCTATCCTGAGCTGAAGAGCAGCCTGCTGCTGCCGTACGACGACAAGACGCTGCTGTTCTTCGAGGATGTGCTGCACCGACACAAGAACAAGCAGGACATGTGGGTGGATGAACAGCTGCTGCCACCCGATGACCTGATCACCAAGTACGGCCCTCTTCTGCCCGTTCTCGGCCTGCAGGACAAGTACGACGTCTTCATCAGCTACAGGTGAGACGGTGTGCGTGTGTGTGTGTGCGTGCGTGTGCGTGTATGTGCATGTGTGTCTGTGTGTGTGCATGTGTGTGCGTGTCTGTGTGCGTGTCTATCTATTTGTCTGTCTGTCTGTCGGTCACTTCCAACCACTACTGCTGCAGCACAACATTTCACCTCACTTCCCCCCTGCTTCCCCCTCCACCTACACACACCACCACAGACAACGCGCCAGCAGCGGGCTGGTGATGGCGCTGCATCCGCGCTTGGAGCAGCGCAACCTGATCGCATTCCTGGACGCCAACAACCTGGAGACGGGCCTCAACTTCAAGCTGTCGTTCATGACGGCGATAGGGCTGAGCCTGGTGGCCTGCCCCATCGTCTCTGCTGCCACCATCATGCAGATGAGGCAGCTGCAGCACAGCGACTACTGCGACAACGTGCTGCTGGAGTGGATGACGATGCTGGCGCTACGCGAGCACCAGCGCGCGCATGAAGATGATGAGGAGCAACATGCCAAGATCCGCCTCCAACGCATTGTGCCCGTGATTGTGAGCAGCGCGTGGCACAACTTCAACGACAGCAGCAGCATGAGCAGGGCCGAGATGAGCGAGTACGACTCTTTCGACCGCCTGAAGCGGTTGGCCATGACGCTGCCGGATGCTGTGTGTGAGAAGACAGCAGCAGCGCTGGACCAGTACTTTTCACAGGTGCTGCACCTGCCACCACCACAGCCGCACAAGAGCGTGCGTGAAGCGGTGCTGTCGCTATTTGACATTGACGGCATGACTGGATTTGGCGAAGAGGCGGCAGAAGGGGAGGTGGCGTGGCGAGGGAGACAGTTGCAGGGATATGCAGAGGCGATCAGGAAGGTGGTTGTTGCTGCGGGGCGGGATCATGCACGCAGCGGCGCACCGAGAAAGTCAGGCCAGGCGGAGGGAAGCGACGAAGTTGTGGAAGAAGAAGAAGAAGAAGAAGAAGAAGAAGAAGAAGAAGAAGAAGAAGAAGAAGAAGAAGAAGAAGAAGAAGAAGAAGAAGAAGAAGAAGAAGAAGAAGAAGAAGAAGAAGAAGAAGAAGAAGTACAGCATCAGCATCAGCAACAACAGCAACAACAACAGCAAATAGACGAGGAGCAGCGGCTGTGGCCATTTGCGGCAGACTTGCTATCGGAGCTGAGCTCGGCGTCGCTGCTGGAGAGTGTGGGCGGTGCGCTGTGTGACTTTGGGGCGACCACGTGCGGTGATGTTGTGCTTGGCATTGAGGAAGGCATCATTTCGCGGAAGTCCCTCGAGGCGTGCGGTGTCCGGCCAATCCCGGCGGTGAAACTGCTCAGGCTCTTCAAGGCCAAGACATCTTGCTCCTCCTCCTTCGCATAGCCTTATGTGTGTGTGCGTGTTTCCTGCATTGTAATGTTGTACGTGTATGCGCAGGCTCAACCCTCTCCGCTTTACTGTTCAAGCCGTCTCCTTTGTGTTCTTTCCCATGCGGACGGCTAGGCTGTTTACATTTGAATTTGAAAGACATACAATACTGCAACAAGCACGCCAGCGAGCAAGCGAGCAAGCCAGCATGCAAGCAATGATACAATCGAAATGGGAGTCGCTGTTGGCTGTTGTCAACGCGCAAAGGCCCACTACGGCACGCTCGACAGCGGCAGCGAAGGTTAGACAAAGCAGGTGGTAACTGCAGCTTTGTCAGGTTGCTCGGTGAAATCGATAACACAACTTCGACAAGTAGGCAGGCAGGGCAGAGCAGAGAAATGCAAGAGTTCGCGCGCATTGTGGTGTCATCAAGAGAAAACGGAATACCCCCTTCCTCCAATTGACGACGCCAATGAATCACTTCAGGAACAGAAGGTAGACGCCGGTGGCTAAGCAGGTGAGGCTCACGAGCCAGTGTAATCTAACCCCAATCACGGCACCTGCCCATGCATCAAGGAGCATCCTCCGGGTGAGAGCTGGTGAGAGCGGCCATGGAACAGGACCAATGCAAGGAGTGGAAAGAAGCGGTAACAACATAGCCACTGTTGCAGACAAAACAGAACCGTGGGCACATGGGAGCTGTTGTTGTTGTTGTTGTTGTTGTTGTTGTTGTTGTTGTTGTTGTTGTTGTTGTTGTTGTTGTTGTTGCTGTCCTTCACTCTACTGTGATTGGCGCAGTGCTGGCGTTCGAACAAGTCCACACAAGCTCAACACACACTGTCTTTCTGGTGCAGTCCTGCATGAGGTGCCATGCATGCACACTCACACGCACCTTTGTACAAGACGCCGAAGAAGCCTTGTTTCTCAGAGAGGAAGAAGTCCTTGAGGCGGGGCACGCGCTTGATGTATGCACAGGTGCAAATCATCAGCAGCACAAACACCACCATGCCATCCATGTGGTACACTGCGTTCGATTATGTGAGAGTGATGTGAGTGGGGATGGAGTGGAGGGGGGGGGCAAGGGGTAAGAGGTGGGGTGGAGTGGGGATGGGGTGGGGATGGGGTGAAGGAGGCAGGGATTAGCAGACAGACACAGACAGACAGGTCGACAGACAGACACACACACACACACATACACACACACACAACACATACACAGAGAACACAGACAGACAGACAGACAGACAGACAGACCCAAACACACACATACACACACTTACACACACACACACACACAC